ATGAGCTTCATCAATGGAAACGAGCGGTAATGTTTATATTTTTTGCTAGGAAAGAGATTATTTTTATGCATACATGCATCTGAGGGACAGCCAATCGATATGTGCTTGGTTAAATTGTTTGTCATTCATGGAGATTTTGCTCATACAAAAAAGACAGTCTGACATTATGCGTATTTTAGATGTATTCAAAAAAGAAATAGCTTTGTTGTCATACATTTTTGGTCAACTTGCAATCAATGGTGTAAGATATTTTCTTGATCGGAAAAAAATAGTCAAAGTTTTTCTTCTTTGTTTCATAGTTTATGACATTTGGTTTATTTTTCGTTCACTTGCAGTTAATTTGTTTTCTTATTTGCTGTGTGATCTTGCGGATTTTCCTTTGCCTGACTATGATGATCTAGTTACCAGACGGTCGTAATGCTGATGTATTGCAACTTGATGTTTATAGATTTATGTGATGTTACTTCGAACAATAAAGACGTATCCTGATATATATATATATATATATATATATATATATATATATATATATATATATATATATATATATATATATATATATATACGACGTGTGCTTGTAGTCAGCCGTCATATTCTAATTGCATCGGTTTGTATATTAATTTGAAAGATAGAATGGAAATGATAAAAGGAACTCGAAAACAAAGGACACTTTAATCTTAGTAGTTACCATAAGTCGATGATATAACTTATCTGCCTAGTTACGGTTATGAGTCACACCTATTGTACTCCAGTATCTGATTGCCGAGACTGCAATAGGTCATTTAAGGGATTCATCAAGTGTGGTCTTTCTACACTAACTATATTTTGCCAATAAGACAATTTTTGCAATATGATATATGAATTTCACATTGGTTTTCACTAGAGATTTGTTTCTTGCATTTAGATCCCTTGATAGTTTTGGATAAAGCAAGAAAGATGAAATCTGAAGAGTAAAATGGTGTCATTTTGTTTCACATATACTCTTCAGCTGTATACAGCTTAATAGTGTAATGGTTATTGGGAAATCAATAGTCTTAAGTTATATGATAAAGTCATTGATAACCCAAACAACATGTAAGAGAACTAGTTGTAAAGAGGTGAGAAATGTAAGAAAGGGAAAATAATAATCATAAATGAATAAAGATTTATGTAATGAAGATGAAAATGAGACAGCATTAAGTTATACTCACTAAGGTAGTGAAAACTAACCACACTCTTTTTCTGTATGCATAGGTCAGGTTGAAAGCGTTTCATTGGTATCACTTCCACGAAATACAGTAATCAAAGGAACACTAAGAAACAGCTTCCCTTCGACTAGACTTGTATTAGTATACAGTACCATGTACTTACTAAACCAGTGAAGATTGGGTAATTACGCTGATCATGTCACCTTCAACTGCATTTATGAATACACATGAACTTTGTACCCGTAAATGCAGGAGAAGAACTGTGAGAGGAGGGCGTACATTTGCTTCGCCGAGCTTATAACCAACAATCTTTGCTTGAAAGGAAGTAGAATTCTTACCAGTCCAATTATCAGATACTTCATAGACAAAGATCTCGAGTGCTTTTAACATGATAAACGCATAGAAAATGTTTGGATTATTGCTTTTATTGTTCATAAAAGCAATTCCTATGAAACGCTTTCAACCTGATCTATGCATATAGAAGGAGAGTTTGGTTAGTTTCTCATTCCCTTGATGAATATGACTTGATCCTGTTTCATTTTCATTTAATTACATAACTGTTTATTCATTGATTATTATTATCATCTTCCCTTTCTTATATTTCTCACCTCTTTGCAACTAATTCTCTTACACATTATATAAATTATCAACAATTTTGCTATACCATTTAAGATTACTGACTTTCTAATTCTAAAATACCTTACATCCTAATAACCATTACACTATTGAACTGTATACGGCTGAAGAGTATTTGTGAAATAAAATGACACTATTTTACTCTTCAGATTTCGTCTTTCTTGCTTTATCCAAAGAAATTTATTTGGTTCTTGTTCTAGTTCTCTAAAGTAATATTGGTAATATTAGTTTCAAAATCCACTATTTCAATCAATTTTTTAAGTGTCCAAGTACTTATTAGAGTGTTTTGTTATACAGATGAATGCTAATGTATGTAAAATCATCCATTCTCTATAGTTGATCATCATCATCATTATCAACATAGGACCAGGCATTACTACGTAATGGTCCGAGTTGCCACACCTCATATCAGCACATCAAGTAAAAAGGTAGTGAGGTGAAGGATGAAGATAAGTGAATGCAGTCAAAAGAAATATAAAGTATGAGAAGAAAGGAAAGAGGAGTGACAAAATGGTGAGATTCGGTATAGCGTTGTTAAGATGAGGATAATGTGTGTATACATCTGCGCCACTGACTTCGGTTCTGAGCCATATCACCTAGGGTCTCCAACCACTGGTTCCTCTTGTCCCGTGGACCCCAACCACCTAGTCTGCATCGTCCTACATGGCTTAAACCAACAGTCAGAGACTTCATACATTGGTGCCATGTTTTAGTCTGGCCACCTCGGGCCTTTTTCCAGCCTGGACCCACCTCAGCCAACATTGTGTGACGAGGCAATCGGTGACTAGGCATACGTAGTACGTGTCCCAACCATCTCAGTCGATGAAGGTTCACAACCTCGTCGACTGACTTACCTCTTCTCCCTAAAACTCTACACCTAACTTCTGCATTACTCACATGGTGACACCACGGAATACGTCCTATACTACGAAGGCAACGGTGGTCAAATACCTGAAGCCTTTTTGTATCCTCCACTTTCAATGGCCATGTTTCACAGCCATACAGTAGAACAGAGCGGACTGCTGTGCAGTACACGCGACCCTTAATAGACAAACGAATATCACGGCGGCGCCATAGGTGGCGCAAATTGGCAAAAGCCAATCGAGCCTTTTGTATCCGTGCAGAAATCTCATCGGCAACTAACCCACCGGAGTTGATCCTACTTCCCAGGTAAGTGAAGTGGTCAACACACTCAACCACTTCACTCTCTATTGTTAACCGCGGTACCGCTGAAGACCAGTCCTGGAGCAAAAATTTGCATTTGGGTGGTGAAAATCGCATCCCAAACATTCTCAAATTCCCACTCAAAGTGTTCAGAAGACTCTGCATCTTGTCAGCGTCTTCACCTAACAGGACTATGTCATCTGCATATTCTAGATCTAAGGAAAATTCACCTGTGATCGGGTCAACGTCTGTGTAATTAGGTGACGAGAGGGAAACCTCCATAAGAATATCTATGATAAAATTAAATAAGAATGGGGATAGTGGGCATCCTTGACGGACACCACTTGATGAGTATAGCTCCCTGGACAACTCACCATAGGCTCTAACATGCCCACAAGTGTTCGAGTAGAGAGCTTTCAATAAGGTGATGTACTTACTAGGCACGCCTTTCAGTGACAGACATTGCCATAAGACTTCTCGATCAACGGAGTCAAATGCCGCCTTCAGGTCGAGAAATACAGCTATTGTCGGGCGTCTGTAGTTGAACAATCCTATTTCAAGATAAAGTGTAGTTTCTCAATTCTTTAGGTTGCTTATTATATTTTCTTGGTTATGTTGTGTTCTCTAACCTGAGTAGTTTAATCGCGAAGCTTTCCATTGTCTTTTTGGACAATATCATCAGTACCACTAACTTTAATATGAAGTGAGCTGTCGATATTCCTTGTCCTAACGATCTGGTTTGTGATTGGTTATTTCCCTCGATTGTTGTGTCACTGACTGCATAGATTTTCTTGTTGGCTGGTTGTCACTCTGCCTGACCTCCGACTTTTTTTGTTGCATCTATGTCTATACATCGATTGATTGCTGATTGACCTGAATACCAAGCTCTTAGGTATTCTCTAATATTCTTTGTGTTTCCTCTGTCCAAAATTTCTACATTGTCAGAATTGAATTTGTGTTCATAATTATCTATGTGCATTGAAATGAGCTTTGAAATGTTGTGACGTTTAATAGGCGATTGTTGTTCATGTAGACGAAGACAGTTGACTTTGTAAATGATATTTGGTTTGTCCTCTTTGACTGTCGCGTCCTTTGGTTTTGCATGACGTTATTTGAACGGAATTTGTTAGCTTATAAGCCACACCAATTCCAAGTGGTCTCAGTAATCTTGTCGTGATCTTTGGCATATTCCTTATATACGGTTGAATGGTCCGTTTCTTGATTTTTGTGAATGATTTTGTAATTGCTGATGAACGGGATAGAGGTCTTGTGAGTAGCCATTCTTCTTTTGGATAGATATCAAATAATTTTCTTCGTATCTCTTTGGAGTTATTCCATGCAATGGGTTCTCGCTTTGAGTTTTCTATTCGCTAAATTGAATCGAAATTCTTCTGTTCACACACCAGACTATTCGATATCTCAGTATCAGTTATTTACTCGTGTCATTTGTTTGTTCGTGACTAGTAGCGAAATCTGATCAATTTATGTTTTATCCTGGTTTAAACTTCTCAATTAGTGCATCCTCAGCTAGCTATTTACTTGTTTCTACAGAGAGCTATTTGATGTCAGTGCTGGACACTTCAAACGCTGATTGGATTACCACTAGTAGGGCTACCGAATCACAATATCCCTTTTCGCATCTTGGTATTCACTGTTAGTTATTACCGAATAAAGAATTTCTTTTTATCTATGGGGATTGACTGATAGTAGAGCTGTGGCTCAGTGGTTTCAAAAGATGACTTCCAACCAGTAGTATGTCATGGGTTCGAACCCTGCTCTACTGACAAGGGTTTGAGCAGCCAAGTAGTATTATTAGTCCTCACATAATAGGTGTGCTTCACTGTCTACTTTAAAGGTGTGCACAAGATTGTTGTATGCGTTTTGGAATAGTTGGTGTCAAGGACTAATGTTTCCTACTAGGATATATTTATATTATTTTGATCAAAATATGCATTAATATTTAGTGAAAAGTGTATTTTTATTTCTTGTATAAATTTTACTTTTTCTTTATAGATATTGAAAGGTATAAAACATTTTTGGAAGCATAAAAATGATGAAGATAAAGAAAGTGTACTATTACAGAATTCTATCCTTTTATCACATCCAACTTTTTTATCATTACTTCAAGTTTGCTTACCTGATGCAGATTTTTTAATTGATTCTTTATATGAACAAATTGAATATTTTGTATTGAATGCACGTGATATAGCTGATCGTGTACCGGATAATTTACATACACGACAAATAGTTCAACAATGCTTAAAATATCGTTTAATATTAGTTGGACAAAAATTTCAATATATTCAATCAGATTCAGATATTTGTACACGATGGGCTACATTATTAGCTCAGTTAATTAGTCATGGTGTTACAGAGCCTGAATCAAATTGTACTCTATTTTATATGGTTTACGATATGTTACAAATATTGATACATACTTTAGCAGCACGTTCTGGTATCGAAGGTAAACATTATCAATCTGTAGCTAAAAAGATACGTCGTGAATTATCTGAGCGTCCTCCTTGTTCAGGCATAGAATATATCCGTCCATTATTATTACTTACTAAGGGTTCATATACAATTTTTGTTACCGGACAATCACGTCAATCATCACGTGGTGGAACATCAAATGCAACCAGTAGTGGATCACTTGGCAGTAACACAGGAGGTGGTTCAATTGGCAAATTGAGTGGTAGTAGCAGTGGTACAAGTGGAGGTGGTGGTGGTTGTGGTAAATCGAGCAATTCAAAAGGATCTGGTGGTAAAGCTGCTGGACATAGTTTTTTAACCTCTACAACTACCTCAATGCATCAAACTAATCATCGAAATCAACAACATAAAAAACGTGGTTATATGCTACTGGGGAAAGAACGTTTCGCGCCTTGGGAAGTATATGATCCAAGTAAGCAACCATTACTTTTATCAATGCATGGTGCAGTACATACAGAGTCAGTGTTATCACGTGTTGAAGAACAAGCGAATCGATTAATACGTCATGAGCATTTTCATAAAATATTTCGTCCACCTGAATTTTATATGATACCTATTTATCCAGAGATCTTAGAAGAAAGTAATACAATTGATGGCAAACAGTCTGATGTTGCTGATGACGAGAATTCAACTATAATGAAAGCAATAAAAATAGAAAATAACAATCCTGATGGTAATGTAACTAATAGTACGGCTATGAGTAATGTGTTTGGTAATAACAATAACAGTAGTTCTGTCAATTCAGTGGGAGAATCACAAATTCTATCACTAAATGATATTGTACAAATGTCAGATACAGATTTATCTGAATGTGCAAATCAGTTTATTCAACTTAGTACTGGCAATAATACTAATACCACTACTACTACTACTAATAACAGTATTAGTAGTAGCAGTAACAACATTAACCACTCGACAGTTCTGTATGATCAAAAACTTAATATTTCTTCAATGTCTTCTCACACTAACAGTATAATGTTTAATGAATCCAATAAATCTGTAAATGCCAACAGTCAGATTGATTTAAATCATAACAACATGATGGTTATATCATCATCTTCATCTCCTTCAACTACTACTCATACCGTTGCTAGTAGTATCCATCCGGGATATGGAAAGATGTTGAATTCGAGAAGTAATAGTGAATTGATCGATAACTTGTCATTAAACAATCCAATAAATACTTTTCAGTCATCATCGTCAGCAGCAGCAGCGACATCTGGTGCTGTTTTACCGTTATCCAGTTCACAAATTCATTCTCATCAACAAATTCATGGTCATCACCATCATCATCCGCAACAACAACAACAACAACTACTTTTAAACTCAAATCAAACATTCCAGTCAGCGCGTAAAATGCCATCACAGCAAAGTCTTATGAATGATTATACTAATAATATGAATGAATTGGAGCAGAGATCTATACCTGTAAATCATGTTGGACATATGAGTACAATTAATTATCCTCCAAGTCATCACAGTCATCAGTTAGATATAAATATGCATAAAGGTAATAAAATGGTGGGTATAGATTACAATGACAGAATGATTTCATCACAGTCTTCAACATCTCAGCAACCAATTCAAGGACAGACACCAATACCTCCGTTACCGCCTTCAACACCTATGAGTAGCACAGCAGCACATGTGACAACAACACCTACCACAACAAAACGTAAACGTGGATCTGGACGTCGTGGAGGTGGCGGAAATTTAGCATCCTCACTCCGTTCTACTGGACCAAATAGTTCATCTTCACGTGGTGGTATGCATACTACTGGTTCAATGAATGTAAGCTATGAACGAGTCAGTAATCCTTCGGTGAATGTATACTCCTATAATGTTATTAATTCTGAACAACAAATAAATGATTCGAATCATCAATGGGGCGGCAAACAAAATGTTTATAATATGAATTTACTTGAATTACAGCAACAACATCACCAGCAACCACAGACACATGTACAGCAGTCCTCTTCATCTACACGTGGTCAACAACATCAACATCTAGCTAATTTAAGTGGATTCCTACGTAATCGCGCACAGCAGCAACAACAACAACAACAGCAACATCCTGGACAGTCTTATAGTTCGAGTTTCAATCCAAGTAATCCTGTTGTTGTGTCACATTCAGGTCATGCGTTTGACCAGTCCCAACTGAGTAATCAGTTTAACCAATCGAATACGCATATGCCTGATACTGCTCCTCCTGGTTCAGTGAAAAGGAATTTAACAACCAGTGGTGGTAATATCTCTCGATCCATACAACAGTCATCACAACAACAAGTTTCAAGTCAACAACACCAGCAACAACCTCATCAAATGATCAGTCATACTCCTGGACCACCACAGCAAATTCCACAGGGTGTACCTAATCCACCACCATATCCAGTTTCTAATCAACCTCAACAACATTCATTCCGTATTCCATCTGATGAGTCCTATATGATGACTATCAATGACTCAAATATTGATGAACAATTTAGACGACAGTCACTGAATCCTGTAATGAATCCCATTCATCAGTCGAATACAGTTTTATCACGTCCACAAGCTTATGAATCCGTAACAAATCAAATGCAAGCTGAAACACAGCATTTATCATATATGCCAACACAAAGTGATCAGCAAATAAATCAGTCTAGACTGCAATCTCGTATGATTTCTCAATCTCAACAACAACAACAGTCGGGGCAAATGATGCGACCTGATATGATTCCGACATCAGTTATGGATACTGGCGGTAACAATATTCAATCATCTGGTAATTCTCAACAATCACATATACAGAATATATCTCATTCATCGTATCCACGTTATACTGGGTACTAATTTTTTTTCTTTTTGTTCTGATTTCTGTTCTTCTTATGTACAGTATACATTTCATCTGTAAAAAAAAGTAATAAATGTATTTCTTACGTTTAGTTTTTAGAACTATTTCTCAAATCCCTGATGTTGTGTTTCATTTTACTTTCTTCTGTTGATATATGTTCATCTTTCATTTTCGAGAGGTTAATAGCAGATAAATGTGCAAATAAAAATAATTATGTATATCTATCCTTCTGAACCTCGCCTGGTTAACTAGTTCACTAGTTACTAGCCGGTCCTAAGCCCGGGTATTGTGATTGTTAGTTACCGTATCATGTAGTGGTATGACTTAGTAGTTTAGGGGAGATGAATAACAAACCAGTGGGGATCATAGATTTGAACTTTGCTTCACCCACCGAGGTTTGGGTAGCCATCACACAACAAATGTGGCCCATTGCCTACTGTACAGATGTGCACAAGGTGGTTGAGTAAGTTCTGTTCGTTTTTACTTCATCGTGTTAAAGGGCGTGGAATTTCATAATAATAATAATCACTGTATTCCAAACGACATTTATGGCACAGTAGAATTTCCAGTATGGTAACAGGCATAAAAGTGAAAATGGCTAGCTAGTATTACACAAGCATCTGTTCTCGATTCAGAAATTAATACAAAATCGGGCGTAATTTTGATGGTAGCAAATCAGTCAGGCAGCACAGAAATTCACAATTCCATATATGTAGGTATCATAGGAATAGTAATGTGATGTGTTTTTAAACATTTACGAATCCATTTCCAACCGGTGGGATGTTTTCCCCCTAGTTTTGTTCTTAGCTTGAGAAACGAAATTTTGAAAACATTTTAAAAACGTCCGGGAGTATATGATGCGTTTAGAAGACATTTGAAAGATTAAAATAAACTAAAAGGGAAGAGTTTGATGTAATATAATCGGTGGAAAGTTTTTTTTGGTCGCTCACGATTTAAGCAGGCCGTCTTTTATCTGGTTATTGTTCTTAGGAGGTGTATAAAAACTACATCTAGGTGAAAACGACGTGAATAGAATTACATTTTATGTATTGGATGTCCCCAAACCGTCTTCTCAGTGTATGTCCATTCCAATTCATCTCGACTTTCTTCTGCATATCTGTTGGGCGGTGGGTTCTTGATTGGTTCGTTGCCAGGCCAGAGTTCCTCGTTGCTTATTCTTCCTGGTTATCCGATCTTCAGTACCGAGTGAGCGTATGCAGCAGCTGTTGGTGTGATGTATGTCTGCAGTTTTTCGGAAATGCTTTTCGTAACGAGCCAAGTCTCTCAACCATCACATAGAAGCAGTGACTGACTTGACTGTTAGTGTTGAAAATCCGGATCTTGTTGTTTATGCTGAGTTGAGTCCAGTGCAGTAGATCACACTGGTTTCAGATTGATGAAAGCGTGTTTTGCTGTCTTTGCGACCCTGGCTTTGACATCGTGATCTGTGCCGCCGTTGCCGCCTGTAGTTGAAACGATGCTGTCTGCCTAGTAGGTTGGTAGGTAGGTAGGTGAAAGTGACAACTTGCTTTAGATGTCTCCCGTTGATGGTGATTGGTGCTTGTTGTTGGTGTTATTGATGGTCGGGTATCTTCATTACCTCTGTCTTCTCTACGTTCACATGAATTGCCGTCTTCACTGTCTCGCCTGTTTTATCAACTTGTTAGTTTTCGCCTGTAGATCTTCGAGTTTGTGCAACAAGACATTGGACGTAAATTATGATCGGCGAAATCCAAATCTCGCAGGGTGTTTTCACCAGTCAAACAGCGTGTTTCCGTCGTCTCGCTCCTCACAGTTTGTTGCATGATGCAGTCGAGTCGAGTGGACCACAATCAGGAAGATTATTGGTGATAGTAGGTGGCAACTTTGTTTCACTGCTTTCTGTCTTCACTTCAAAGGCATGACTGAGATTTCCATTGTGAATCACTCGGCATGTAGCATCATATAGCACATACCTGTTGAATGAGGTTGATAAAGATTTGTGTCTGTAAAACCGTATTGTTGAATCACTTGCCAAATTACTTGTCGATCGACGCTATTGAAGGTCTTCTCAAAGTAGATGAAGTTGAGGTAAAGAGGTGACTGCCATTCTATGCTGTGTTGTATGTTGATGCGTAGGGTAGCGTTGCGATTTGATCCGCATATGATTTGTTCTTCCTGAAGCCAGCCAGCCAGCCTGTTCCGGTCATAATCCAGTTGAATCCAGCTCATCCTTTAGTCTCTCCAGGATGATGTGGCTTAATATTTGGCTTAAGGTGGAGCGTGATTCCGCACCAGTACTAGTCCTTTCGAAGACTTAGGTAGCCTTCCTTTGGGAGCTTGACAAGGTAGCCCTTCTTCCAATCAACTGGCATGTACCTTTCCTTCCTTCCTTGCAAACCCTCCTCAGTAGTCATGTGAGCATGTCTGCTGTTGCCTCTGGGTCTGTTTTCAGTGCTTCTTTTGGGATTCCATCTAGTTCTGCTGCTTTCCTGGATTCCAGCAACTTTGACGTTAAGGACTTTTGCTTTCGTCGGAGGGCTTGTGTTTACTGGTAGTTCTGTGGCTGCAGGTGGTATTTTTGGACGAAGTGCAGGTGGTGGTCGATTCAAGAGCTTTTTGAAGTGGTCAGTCCATCGCTTCCTTCGGTTCTTCTCTTCGGTAACTAAGTTTCGTTCATTATCTTTCATTGGTTTCATCTGTGTTGATCTCTTCTCTTCCAGATTGTAACCTTATTATTTGATACAATGTTGTCGGGTCTGTGTCTCTCCTACCTGCAGCCTGTTCTGCTTCACTTGCCACTGTGTCGTAGAAGTGTCTTTAGTCTTTGTGCGCACTCTTCCTCACTTCTTTGCCCAGTGTTTTATAGATTATACTCAGTTCCTCTTTTCATTGTTCATCCCTGCACTGTACTGGTTCATCTCCTGCTTCACCATCTTCCTCTCCCTACACTATCAGCTTCCATGTGTCCGTCGAGATCCATTCCTTGTCCTATTTTTTCTCCCTCCCTGATACGGTTATGCAGGTTTCATTCTGCATCTCTTTCAAAGAGTTCCAGTGTTCTTCAACACAGGTTTCTTCAGGAATGTTACCTAATGTCTCCCATTTCGTCCTAATGGCTGACGTGATATCTTTTGTAGTTTGGTCCTTCAGTTTGTCTTCTGAGTGTTGAACTTGAACTGTGGTCGTCTATCACCAACTTCTTTGAAGGCTTCCAACTTGATTTTGTAGGTAGGTTCCGTGCAGTAGATAGTGAGTGGTGTGAACCTACATTTGCTCCTCTTCGGGATCTTGTGTCCAGTAGGCTGGCTGTGTCTCCACCTTCTTCAGATTGAGATGAAGTCGGTGTGATGTTTAGTGTAGTGTGCCCATCTGGTGAAATCAAATCCATATCTCTCGCTTTGTGAATATCCTTGTGTTTGTACACAGTGCCTCCAATCACCAAATCGTTGAATGCACAGAAGTCTGTCAACAGTTCTCCATTATTTTTCATTTCACTAAATTGTTCTTGACCCATGATGAGTCCTCTTTCTGTGTTATCTCCGCCAAGTTTGGTTTTCATGTCGTCCATTAGAATTATGATGTCGCCATCTGGGGTGGGGTCTTATCCGCTGCCAATTGCAGTTTTCTATAGAATTCCTCCTTCTTCTCTTGATCTGCATTACTTGTAGGTGCGCAGCATAGCACTGTGTGATTGTAACTTTCTTTCATTTCGATTTGTATCTTGCTGTCATGATCCTGGATGAGGAGATTGATTCTCACTGCATGAGAGTCTTTGATGCTGTCGGGGACATCATGATAGCCACTCCATTACTGAGTGAGCTCATGGTTGTGGTCTGGGTGACAATATCAGAATAGATTATTGACTCTCCAGTTGACAGTTTGGAGAGTCCACTTGCATTTCATCTGCTTTCTCAGATTCCAAGGACTTCTATGCCGTGCCTCCTCATCTCCTTTGCAATCTGGGTAGCCTTGCTAGGTTGATACGTTGTGTGGACATTCCGCGTCCTCACGTTTACTGGCGTCATTTTGTCTCTCGGATTCCAGTGAGGAATAATTTTGTTTTTATTTCTTACATTTGTCTGAGCTTTGAATTTTCTTTAGGGGTTGAATTGGTTTTCTGGTGTAGGGTTGCTAACCGTATGCACAACCTTCCCTGTTTATGTGGGCTTAGGACCGGCTAGTAAACTAGTGAACTAGTAAACTAGGCGAGGGTGAATGTCTTGAATATGGTCCTAAATGGAGCTGACTCTGTATATTACTTTCCAGTCTCAAAACACGTTAAAGCCACTGAAGAATTTCACAAGAATTCTGTGGCAATTTAGGTTGAATCGGTTCTCCACATAACAGAAACCAATTTTGCCACCAGACATGGTGAGGTTTATTGGGCCTGTAGATGTCTTACTGTCCATCCAAGGGTCTTAAGCATGACAAATTAATCTACTCTATTGGTTAATGTTTGCGTTCGAAATAGGGCAGCATTTTTTCTCTACACTTTGAACACCTGCTTCTTATTGACCATATTTGCCAGCATGAATAGGTTAGACGATATATAGAAAGAACATTCTAAGTAGCATTATATAACTCGGTTATAAGAAATGAATTACCTATATACTGGTAGTGTATGAATCCTTTTTTCTGGTGCGATGAGTGTGTAGTATATCGGATGCAAGTTTTCCAGTTGTTTTTAACCGTTATGGAAAAACAAGACCTGATAAAACCATTCAACTATATCATAATTAACACATAAAATTTAGTTCCGGCAAATTCTAATATCTTATTAACTTGTGGTTATTTCTTTATTTACCGGACAAATTAGATCGTTCTACTACACAAAATAAATCACTGCGATAGGTAGTTGTTGAATTCATTAATCGTTTGATGATTAGGAATAGATCAGCCTATCTTATCCTTGCCTACAAGAAATCTTTTACTGTCTGACTGATGGAGATTTAAGTATTCTAGGAGGTATTAACACCTTTAGGATGGTAGATATGCTCTTTTGGTAATTATCAACAAAAACTGACTTTAGGTTTTAATTACTCGAAATCAAACAATGTACAATGCGATATTGAGTTATGCAGCTTTGTATTCGTACTAAGAAGTTAACCAGGATTAGGTAACATGATACCCATCGATTTTTCATCGACCAATACATATTTGACTTTTGGTCTGTGTTGTGTAGGGAAATGCAGACTTCCCAGATGGGTTTTTATGTGACAATAGAAACCAGTGGCTG